ATCTCCTTGTTGTTTATTTCAGCAGAAATGGCTCTCAAACAGACAGTCAAAGAACTCCAGGCTTAGAATGCTCAGTTCCAAGAAATGTTCCTAAGCTTAGCCAAGGGGCAAGAAGAATTGAAGGCGCTCATCGCTAAAGAGAAGAAGAAGAAGACAAAGAAACCAATTGGCCTTATCAACATGGGGAGGAGATTCATAGGTCTGACTAAACAAGTCAAGAAAATCGACCTCCCTGAGGACAATGATAATGGAAAGGATGACAACAATGAAAGTGACAAAATTGATGAAAACAACAATCATGGTTCTGTCAAATACTCTGATGGAGAGGAAGAAGATTATTTGGATGAACAATATCCCTATGTTGATGAGAATTATAAGTTGTTAGAAGAGCGTCTAAAAGCTACGGAGATCCAGGAGTTGCCTGGCTTGTACTTTGAAGAGTTGGGTCTAGTTTCAGGAGTCGTCATTCCTCCCAAGTTCAAAACTCCTACCTTTGCTAAGTATGACGGTGGTTCTTGCCCAAAGCTGTATCTGAGGTCACACACTGCTGATAAGAAATTGTGGATTCATTTCCTCCATGAGAGCCAATCTGGAACATAGTTGGAATGGTTCTATCAACTAGAAGGGACCAATGTTCATACCTGGGAAGATTTGGTTGCCGCTTTCTACAAGAAGTACCAGCATAATGTTGACCTCCCACTCGTATGCAATTGTAGAGTATGTCCACGGGCTCTAATAAAAGTTTCAAAGAGTACGCCCAGAAATGGAGAGATCTTGCAGGCAGAGTTCAACCTCCTTTAGCTGATAGGGAATTGGTTGACATGTTCATGAGCATGCTGTTCGGTCCTTTATATAGCCACCTACTTGAAAATTCTTTAGCTGGTTTCATTGAATTGATATTGACAGGGGAACATGTTAATAATGGAATCAAAAGTGGTAAAACCCAAGTGGCTACATCTTCAAATACTCAGAAGAAGTCGTACAATAGGAAGAAAACGTCTAATATTGTGTACAGCCAAAAAGGTCGTAATAAGAGTAACTGCAACCAATCTTTGGGGGCAGTTATGATCTCTAATCTTGCGCCAGTACAACAATAACAACAAGGTAATCAGCATAAGCAGGATACACCCAAAAGACAATTTACCAAAATCAACATGTCATTGGCTCAAGCGTTGCAACACATGTTGAAGGAAGAGTTCATTACATTGAAGGATCCTCCTCGGAATCCCAATACTTCTGCTCCTAGCTATCATCCCAATACAAGGTGTGCATACTATTCTAATAGTCCTAGACATGATACGAATGGATGTTAGGCATTGAAGAATAACATTCAAGATATGATTGATGCTAAGGAGATTAAGTTTGACCCTTCTGAGACTTCTAATGTGATCATTGATCCCATGCGAAATCATGACTAAGATTGAGAGCGTCCAATTCATTTGAATTTTCAGTTGTAATTTTCTTTTGTTTGTTCGAACACTTATCTTTATGTAAAACTTTGGTTTTTTCCCATGAATGCATTGCATATGTTTGTCTTGAATTGATCCATTCATTTCACTATATTTAAATTGTGCTTTTTACTTCCTTTTTGTGATATTCAACTCTCGTTAAAGCTATAAGCCTTTAGAGGGAAGATAAGGAAAACGATATCATAATCTCATACAATATGCTTTTGAATGGACCTTGCTGACGATGTACAGGCATTGCTTCAATTCCTAAAAAGTGGAGATATAAGGAAGTTAATCCCTAGTCAACCCCTTTGAGCCTAAGAAGGAGGAGTTTTTTTCACGCAAATTGAAACCCTTAATTATAACCTAGGGCAGGATAGTTTCTCAGTTAATTCAATTGTGCATTCAATCGCAAGATCAACCTTTGTACACGATGAGTAGTGTCGAAGATATTCTTCTAAATCAAAAACCGATGATGGTTCCCTATAATCATTAAGTCGGGAAATTATTATCTATCAAAAAAGAAGGTCCTCTAAGTCAAAACCTATGAAGGAGACTTAATAAAAAAACGGGGGCATCCCGCTGACTGTAATCTCAAACGAAACAGTTCAGGCAAAAGTTAGGGATATTAAAGTAAAAAAGAGGTTGCTACAAATCCTCAACAAAAGGAATATATTGCAAAAAAAAAGATTTCCTTCTCAAATAAACTTTTAGTTTCTGAACCATCACTGAGTATCAACGCTATAATGCGAAACTCTATTAGAACCTAAATGCATAATTAACTGACTATAAGACTGAAGGACATCATGGAGAACGGTTTGGGTACAAATAAAATTTGATCCTTTATCTTTTGTTTCATAAACCATGAACCAGACCACGTTACAACCCTTAAAAGTCCTAAATAAAGCATGGGTTAGTTCGAAAGCATACTGTTACAAAAAGGTATCCTGACTCCTGTAAGGCTTACTATAAATCCTGAGTTGATATCACATTCTTACAAATTTAGTTTTTCTAAAAAAATGAATTTTTTAAACTTCAAGACAGACATAAGCTTTTCATTTTAATACAATTGTTTGCATATGACTAAGTTTTTAACAGCAGAGATTCGCATGACGAATATTCAATGAACGAAAATCCTCCCAATGGATAGAGTTACTTCAGATGATGCGTCAAAGAGAAAGACACTTTCCATAACAGGCCTTTCATGGACCCAATTGGTTATAAATCAAGGGGCGTGACATGTTATTGTCCAACTCATTTATGGCAGTCAAGTCAAGATTCAAAGAATCTCTCAAAAGTGTTGAATAGCCATGGGAAGGTCTCTATCTAAATCACTTGGGGCATGTTACATTAATCGTTAGTTTCAGCAAAAGCCATTATGAAATTTGAATCTTTGGTATCACCAAATTTCTTGTCTGTATCAGTAGTATCAGATGGTGTCATTCTGTCGTGACAGTTCTTAGTAAATAATGAGGAAAGTCAAGACTATCAGAAACTTGGCAATCAATGGTTGATCAATAACTTCAAACATCGGGTGCACCAGACTCACCACGGGGGGAAATGGACTCCTGCATACGAAGAGCCACATATGATCAAGAAATATTTTCTGGCAGTGCTACAACACTTACTACCATGGACAATGAAAATTCTCCGCGCCCTATGAACGCGGGCATAGTCAAAATACTACGCATGAAAAAGAGATCCGCTAGGTTGATTGGCCTAGGCAAAAATAAGGGCATCCCAACAAACCAAAAGTGTTCGGGAAAAAATTAGGGACATATAAATAAAATTATACACCTGGCAAGTTGAAAACCTGAGAAGGCAGCTTGGGAAAAAAAGGGTATCCTGATGGACTGAAAATTTAAAAAAGACTATCCAGGAAAAGTTAGGGATTAAAGCATACAACTATGTCCCGTTATCTCATCACTTGTTTATCACTTTGATCAGAATTTACTAAAGACTCTAGGAGTTGGGATAATGTTCAAGTCATCCAAAAATCCCCACATATCAATCTCCACGGAACTATCTCTACAGAGCTATCTTCACAAGCACATCCATTAGAGATATATTCCCCAAAAAATCTAATATGCCATCAGACAGAAATTGGGGCATCTTCCAGCGTTTCACCTCTATATCTGTGATGGATAGCTCGACATGACCATCTTCCCTAATAGGTCCCCTAGGAGATAAGGAAGTTTGATCATTTCCCCAACATACAGTGGAGACTTCCTCAGCGCAGCCTATGAAATTCCAATCCCCATCAGAGTTTATTTCCTCAATGCGTGTTGCAACCGGTTTTTTAATTGAGAGTCACCACCCTTGATTTTTATCCTAAAGGAAGGGAATATAAAGGAATAACCCTAAAATTAAGAGATTCTAGATTTGGACTTGGTTTTACACGAGGGGAAGGTGTTAGGAACCCCTTATCTACCTTGTTCGCAAGGATACTATGTTTAGAAGCGCGATGTTTAGGAAATAAGGTTTTTAATTATTATTGGGAAAAAGGGTTTGCATTTTATTTAGGGGGACTCACCATGATTTTGATCGTATGCCTATGTATCCTCCTAGAAGGAATCAGAGTCCAATTTCGTAGTTCGCAGAGTTGTTTGTATTTTTTATGGACTGTGAAATATATTTTGAATTCTCGCGTATGTGGTCTAAGAGTATGAATAAGCGGAGTTTGTTTAGACCAAGTATGCAGTTAACTTAAATATATTCGCATTCCTTTTCGAACATTAATGTTAAATTAATTTATTGTGAAAAATAGTTTGGTGAACGTTTGAATATTTTTAAACGTATAGCGGAGGAGTCTGGTATAGCCTTCTCATCACGTGGCCAGATATTGGCCACGTGTCGCTTACAAATGTAGCAATTTAGTGAATCACAGGTTTTAATATTTTGACATAAAATATTAAATTAATTTAATGATGAAAAATGTTTTAATGAATTTAGAAAATTATATAATAATTAATGATAATAAATATAATATTTAAATATGATATATATATATATATATATATATATATATATATATATATATATATATATATATATATATATATATATATATATATATATATATATATATATATATATATATATATATATATATATATATATATATATATATATATATATATATATATATATATATATATATATATATATATATATATATATATATATATATATATATATATATATATATATATATATATATATATATATATATATATATCATTATAATCGAAGAAAAATATAAAAATATGAAAATAATAAAAATAAATAGAAGGAATAAAGTAATTTTAAAAAACATAGAGGTGGGTGTAAAATATAAAACGGTAGTAAAAAAGTAAGGTGTTAATAGAAAGAGCCTGAATTCAAATTTTGAATTCAAACCCAGAAGGCCAAGAGGGTGCACATTAGAACTAGTTAGTAAAAACAAAGGGGGTAGGGAGTCAGGGGACTGATGGGTTTGTAGGATGGTGGGGGGAGGAGGCTCAATCAATATTTATTAAAACATGAGAGAGTAAAAATTAAGACAAGGGTGGTATGGATCTGGGTCGGGCCCAAGGCAAAGGGTTTCGGTAAGCACAATATATTTTTTTCATTACAAAACAAAAAAAACATTACATTGTTCTTCTCTCTCTCTCTTCCTCGTCGTTCCCTTCTCTCTTTTCTATTTCCTCTCACCCACAAATCCTAGGAACCAGAACTAGCGGCAGCAATGCCCGTCCCTCCGGTCACATTTTTTTGTTTCTTGAGTTTTGATTTACTAACCCTCTTCCTCTATTTGGCAGGTGCGAGACAACGGCAGGGATGAAGAGGGAGGGAGTGAAAGCGGAAAGTGGTGGTCTGTGTATGGTCGTGGTTCGACAGAGATGCTCCCGTCATGGTGTTGTCGGAGTTGTAATGAAAATGGTTGTGCGACGTGGATGTCCGAGGGATTCTGATCTGAAACAAATTTATTTTCGAATTTCAACCAATTTCTTTTGTTTCTCTTTTTCTTTTTTGTATTGTTCTCTCCCCCTCGTTCTCTGTAATGTTGTTTATTTTTATAATGATTTTAGGAATTCGATTTAGGAAAGGAAGTTATGTGTTTTGATTATTCTTGATTTTGATTAGTAAACTTGTATTAATTTGTTTTTAATTATATTGAATCAGTATTTGAATGCTTAATAAAGTTGTTTCTATTTTGAGTTGATTTTGTCTGTGTTATGCATCCGCCACGATTCTGGGAAAGGAAAGAATTGGAAGAACAATCAGACACACGCGCCTGATCTGCACAGTAAATGTTTGTTTTTTGGAACAACCAAAAAAACAAAACGCACTATTAGGCCATAACAATATTTGGGCCAGCAATCTGTTTTGCTTTTCTATTTTATTGGGCCAACATGTTTTCCTAATTTGCTAGTTAAATAAAACAAAAAAAAATCAATAATTAATAAAATAGTTTCTCAAAAAATGGAAATGGGCCAGATGTTTTGGTCATTGGTCTTGCTTGCTTTATCATTTGGATTCACAACAAAAATGCCTCTATTTCAAATGGCTAGTCTTGGGCCGTAAAAGAAACTCCTTACTTCTTTTTTTATCAATAAAACAAAAACAATCTCAATTAAGCTTTAATATTAAAACCAATAAAAATTGATGGTGATGTTGATAATAATAACAAAGTTGTTAAAAATAAAATAATCTCTTCCAACTTAAAAAAAATAATGGGCCACCTTATTTTAATTCATTGGGCCTAAAAAAAAAAGAATTGTTCACCTCCTTTGATTAGAATAATGCACCTCCCATTTTTTACTTGAAATGGGCTTCTCTTTTAAAAACCTAATGGACCATCTAATATTGATGGTCCATTTTAAATCAATACACCCCTCTTTAATGTTTTGCACCCCCGTAGAAACAGAAACTAAATAAATGATGTATTGAATAGAAAACCCAAATATAATAAAAGTGTGTGGATAGTTTGGGGTATGACAGTTTCCCCTATTTAATCACATTTCGATTGAATAGTGCGAGAATACATAGGTCTCACACATTTAATCAAAAGTTTATTAAATATTGGAAAACCTCAGGATTTGTCCGAGCTAGTATAAGAATATGTTGTACATTGGTCCTATGAGTGTGAAGAATAGGCATAGATGATGATGTATCATGCTACCAGTGTTTGGACTAAAGTTGATAGAATTAAGACTCGACGACGCGGATAACTCGTCGGTATCTGGGAGATTGTAAGTTTTTGCGTTTTTACCGTAACCTAGGAGGTAAATGATACAAGTATTGAAAAGCTGACCTACTAATGCTAGGAGACTAATATAGTAAGTTTGTGACACAGTTTTTATATATCCATCACAACCTAGGGGATGAATAACAAAGTTTGATAACACATTACTGCATGGAGACTAATGCAATGGATTATGCAAATTTCGTTATGATTACTACAACCTAGGGAGTAAACAGTACGAGGATGCATCTGTGCATTTATCACAACCTAGGGGATAAAAAACAACAGGCGTGGGCTTACGTTATCCATCGCACACTTGGGGATGAATAATATAACCTTGAAGATTTGAATATCTATCGCAACCTAGGGGATAGATAATTGAAAAAGCTTGAAACCAGATATTTGGAACTTGGAATGACGACGTTGGTTGTTTCAGCCCTCAACCAATATTTGATAACCAAACGTAATATGCTAGATTTGAAACGATGGAACCCAAAGTTTCCTGATGGTGTCAGTTGTGTCGTCCTCAACTATGACTATCAACAAGAAGAAATACCACAAACTCACAATGATGTTGGTTGTGTCGTGTCAACCAAAGCCATCAATATGAATAAAATACCCCAAACTCACAATGATGTTGGTTGTGTCGTGTCAACCAAAGCCATCAATATGAATAAAATACCCCAAACTCACGATGATGTTTGTCGTGTCGTCTCAACCATAACCATCAACATGAAGAAAATAAACCCCAAAATCATGATGATGTCGGTCGTGATCAACCAGGAGAATCAACTGCCGAGATTCAATTTGAGTTACCTTCTACCAAGGTCTTCCGGATAATCAATTGTCGTGATCAACCAGGATAATCTACTGCCGAGATTCAATGTAGAATTTGTAGCTTGATCGACAATGATGATTGCCTTCACATAAAAACGGGGTTTCATGTTGTGCGTGAAAATTTGATTAATGCATGAAATATGATTATTGATTGATCTATGTGATGAATTACTTGGATATATGTGAATGGATGTTGGATTTTGAAATGAGAATGTGTAATTGGGATTTTTGAGATATGCTTAAGCCATGATGTTCGAAGTTGTCATATGGATGAAATGATATGTATAGCTTGATTTTGGATCGAGGAGCCCTAATGCATGATTTATGCCGCCTTATGCTTTATGATTATAACTTGATTGCTCTTTTTTGAATCATTCCCCTGTGATGGGTCATGGATGCTTAAAGCGAGGAGGTTCGCATGTGCGACAAGGTTGCTTGTTGCATGGTGGTTGAATGTTGTACTATCATTATTTCTTGATACTCGATTTGAACTTGCAGACTGCTGATGTGGAAGAAAGAGCCACTGGAGGTTGTGAAAGTACACAGAGAGCTTTCCCCTATGTGGATTGTTTTCCCCTAATTTATTGGTAGGGTCTTAGAGAAGATTCTCATTGATATGAGCTTGGAAATAGTTTTATCATAATGTGAATGACCCCACTATATTATGCCCCTGATTAAAAGATTCTTGAAAATGTTTGGCTTTGAGGGACCCTTTTGTATCAACTCCTTTTTCTCGAGTCTCGTAGTAATTTTCCCCAACATTCAAAATTTGAAATACATTCCCCTCGATCTCCATGATCTTGAGGAAGTACCTTTAGAACGAACTTTAGACTTCACCATGAACTTCACATAGGTTTCCCCAAGTATTTGCAGCTTTGAAAAGTTTGTACTTGAAGTTTCTTGAAGAAATTGGACCCTACGTGCAGTAGGATGAACTTGATACGTATTGCTCCAAACATTTTAGTATTGGAAGGTTGCTCCTTCTTATCGATGCCTTGAGAAGCTTGTTAACATGAGGAAACCGACTCATACCCTATTGCGATATTATTTTATTAAGGAATGATCCTTCGAAGAGTATGCCCTTTGTTGAATAGTGCTTTGAAATTTGATCCACGTTGGTTGAACCTCTGAACGATTGCCCCTAGTCAATAGTATCTCCATGTGAAACGCCTACAATCATTAGTATTTGCCCTTGTTTACAGGGATCCCCTTAGATGTTTTTCCCCTAGTTACAAGCTTCTTGGAAAGGTTGCCTTTGATCGGACCTTTTCGAAATCTCTTTGATGCTAAGTATTGATTCGTAGATAAAATTGTACATTTTTAAAAAAGAAATTTCATTTGATGCACATGCAAGTTCTTGAAATCGAAATTGATTATTTGAAAAGAAGTGGAAGATTATAAGATGAATATTTGAAGAAACGAAGTAGTTAGAAATAATTTTAACAAACATAGGAGTCAGTTTAACATAGATCTTGTTTAGTATGCTTTCATAGTAAACCTAGCTTCAATTAGGACTTTTAAAGGTTGTAACATAGACATGGTTCGTGGTTTAAGAAACAAAATATATAAGGCTCAAAATTTATTTAGCCCACCTCATTCTCCTTGATGTTCTCCAATCCTAAGTTCAATCAATCCAATGGATGCATTTAATCCCCAAGAGAAGTTTTGTAATCGTGCAGATGATGAAAAGAGTAGGCAAAGATCCAAGCACCAATGAAAAGAATTGATAAGAACTAAGCATTGATAAGATCTAAGCATTGACAAGATCCAAGCATTGATGAGAAGCCCTGATGATTCTTAAGGTGGCAGTCACAAGATTGTTCTCCAATTTATTATTTTCAGTCCCTTACTTTTACACGGACCGAAAATTTTTTTTTAACCATCGTGATGCACTAACTTTTGCCTAAGTCAAGTTTTGATTTGCTTTGATTTACCTGGATTTCTCTATATTTCCTTTTTTTTTGCTTTTGATTTTGAAAATTGTGACTGCCATGCTGATTATTGTAAGCTTCGTCTTTATTGTTTTCCTCGATCTTGATTGATGTACTGGGGAAGAAGACGTCGTGGACTTTGTCTTTGTTGATTCCTCAATCTTGGATGATGAACGCAGGGAAGGTAATGTTCTTAAACCTTTTCTTAGATCATTTCCTCAAAGATGTATCAAGGAAAGAGATATGATTTAACCTTTGCTTAGATCGTTTTAGTTCTCCTGAGATTTGAATGCATCGTCGAATTAATTGAAATCTACCTTACCCCTGGTTAAGGTTAAGGTTTTTTTTAGAGAATAGAAAGAAATCTGACTTCTGGCTCGAAGTGGTTGACTACGGATTAACTCCTTATATCTCCATTGTTTAGGAATTGAAACAATGCCTTACATCGTCAGCTAAGCCTTACTATTAAAAAGCTTACATCAACAAAATTTAATTATTTTGTATTTTCACCATTCTCCGTCGAAGTTTTGTTAATTTGAAAATGGAAAAGAAGAGTGAAAATGGAAAGTCGTTGATTTTTTTTGTCGATTTCAAAAACATGCATGCTATTTTATTAGAATCACTTGACCAAACAGTACAAAGCTTATAACAAATAACACTTAGCGAGAAAGAAATTATAATTTGAAACAATCAAGCCTAATTATCCTAGAGATAAGATTTGGTAATGATCCACCAATCAGGGCGAGGGATTTTCCATCATATGCGGGCCATCTTCTTCAAAAGATAATTGCTTATTATCAATCAGCTCTTGTACCGCTTCTTTGAATGAGTTGCATTCTTCAATCGAATGCCCCGCTACTCCACCATGAAAATTACATTGAACATTCGGGTTGTACCAAGGAGGAAATGAAGACTTTATAAATCTGGTTTTTCCAGGGGTCATTGATGAATTTTGTACCAGATATGACCATAATTGATTGTATGTCAAAGGGATCGGGTCAAACTGGCGAGTTACCCCTTCCCGACTGTTTGGACGCCAATGTTGATTAGGGTGTTGATGGTGATTGTTTCGGTTCCGAGCCTTTCGA